GTGAAAGCCTTCGCGAATATATAGATGCAGTTGGATTAAATTATCTAGTGGTTAGAGTACTGGCCTATGAACAAAGATGATTTATTATCCCGTACAACAACCTTTTCCTTCTTTGTCCTTTAAAGCAGCCATCTTAATAAGGCAACTGCCCATTTGGTTAAGTAGGTATCATAGAATCATAGAAAAGTGAAGTGGGAAGGGGCCTACGAGGCCATCTAGTCCAACCCCTTGCTCAGTGCAGGAGTATAATCAAAACATAGCTGCCAGGTGATGATCTAAGTTTTCTCTTGAAGGCCTCCAGGGTTGGAGCGCTCAACAACTCCCGAGGTCACTGGTTCCACTGTCGTACTGCTCTAACAGTAAGGAAGTTTTTCCTGATATTCAACCAAAATCTGGCTTCCTTTAACTTGAGCCCGTTGTTGTGTGTCCTGCACTCTGGGATGATCAAGAACAGATCTTGCCCTTCCTCTGTACGACAGTCTTTCAAATATTTGAAAAATGATATATCACCCACTGTGTGACAGCCCTTCAAATATTTGAAAAATGATATCCTATCACCCATCTATCTTTTTTTCTCAAGGCTAAACATGTTCAATTCCTCCTCGTAAGGATGAGATGGCTGAACATCTCTCAAGGCTAAACATGTTCAATTCCTCCTTGTAAGGATGAGATGGCTGAACAGTGTCATTGAAGCTACCAACATGAATTTGGCCAAACTCTAGGAGGCAGTGGAAGACAGGAGGGCCTGGCGTGCTCTGGTCCATGGGGACACAAAGAGTCGGACATGACTTAACGACTAAACAACAAAAGTCCCAAAATCTAGGCATAGGGAAGTCGGGCATGATTTAATGACTAAACAACAAAGTCCCAAAATCTAGGCATAGGGAAAGAAAAATAGTAGAAGCAGAGACATGGAAGGTGGGGTTAGGAGAAGGAATGTGTTTTTAAAATTTATAGTATTCCTACATTATTTTTTTCGACAAATGTTTTTACACAGTGGCTGAAATCTTGTTGCTTAATGGAGTAAGTTGCAAGTAGAGGAGGCCCGTAGATTCAGTGAGTCAACTATCAGTTCTGTTGACTCAGTGAGTCTATGCCAGCTGCAACTTCCTACACTAAGCTACAGGATTTCCGCCACGGAATTAAACCAATGAAAACTAGTTGATTTTCGATGGCATAAAGGTGGTTCTACAAGAACAGTGTGGGCACCCAGACCAAGTGACTGCTTGAATTGGGCATGGAAAGAGTAACCAATGTGTTATTCTTTATTCTTGCCTACCAGGATTCATGTAAATATATGAAAGGAATAGTGAAGGTGATGGTTTCTCTGCCCATGGAGAGAAAACAGGTACAGTACAGTAGAGGGAAACACAGAAGGTGAAAATTCTCCTTTTTTATACTGTACCTTCTTGCCTTCTACATCCAGAGGGGCCGCTGGCGGAGAAGGAACACAAAGAGTAGAAGCAAAGAAAACTCAAGTGCAAACATTCTGAAACGCCACGAAATTTTGGCAAATTTCTTAAGAAAGAAGGATCGCTAAACAAAGCTGGGTTCCACGCAGGCGGTAAGCTGTAATGCTGACTCCTCTGAGTACTATTTCGCATGCCATTTGGAAGCACGCTCTGCCTGAAATTTGTATAGAACCCACTTCCATTGAATGCCAGCAGCTGCTCAAGGGGCTCCAACTGTTCCTTCCCGATCCCAACTTCCAAAACAGCCATTCTTTTTCAGTAGCAAAACAGCAAGAGCCTCCGGTTGCTCTCAAAAGGCAGAACTCAGCAGCTGCTGTAATAGCCCCACTACACTGTGTTGCCATTCCCCTGCCCGGCTTTTCAGTCTGAGAGGTACATCACACACCCCTACAGTTCTTTAAAATGGCTTACATTTTCCAATAAATCCTATAGAATGAGGCTACAATGATATATATATTTTTTTTTTAAAAAAGAAACCCTTCACTCACAACTCTCTCCTTGTTCAGATATAGATGTAGGTATATAAAAGCAGTTTCTGGATTAAAAGATTTCCTTGTCCTGCTGGAAAGCCATCAGGAACGCCTGCTGACAGCTACATAAAGGATCAAATAACGTAAGGCAGACCTTTCAACCGCACTCCCAAGTAAGGCACAGTGGCAGGCTGGTTGACAGTAGATACTCTTCTCTAAGTTGCCAAGAGTGGACTTCAAGACTTTGCTTCAAAATGTCAAACCAAGAGCAACTGGTGTTAAGGTTCCGAATTTGTCCACTGTTCTTCACCCTCCCAGCAGGGAAAAAAGTGGCTCTTTATTCTCTCCCCTCCTTCCTAGCAAACTGAAGGACGTGGTGGCGCTGTGGATGAAACTGCAGAAGCCTCTGTGCTGCAGGGTCAGAAGACCTGCAGTCGTAAGATCGAATCCATGCAACGGAGTGAGCTCCCGTCGCTTGTCCCAGCTCCCGCCAACCTAGCAGTTTAAAAGCATGCAAAATGCAAAAATGCGAGTAGATAAATAGGTACCCCCTCGGTAGGAAGGTAAATAGCATTCTGTGCCTAGTCATGCTGGCCACGTGACCACGGGTGATTGTCTCCGAACAAACGCTAGCTCTATGGGTTGGAAACGGAGATGAGCACCACCCCCTAGAGTCGGACACGACTGGACAATTGTCAAGGGCAACCTTTACTTTTTTAACCTAGCAAATTAATGAACGAGACCCCTTAATGTCCCCATCAGGGGGCACTTGGGGCAGTGTGCAATAGAAGAAAGCACAATTCCCTAGTCAAAAGAGCAGAATTTAATGGAGTCATTCAAAAATCTTTGTCTTTTAGTTTAATAAGCACATCAACAAATTTATGCATGAAAATCTGTATTTAATAATGAAGGCAAAACAACCGGTCAAGATGTTCTTCTGGTTCTAGATGTTATGAATAATTCCAGACAGATTATCACACTGAAGTTCTGATTCCTTCTGCTGTTGTTTGAAATAGGTGCCAAATTCAAAAATCACGCCAAATGACCGTTTGATTCTCATCAAATGCATCGTATAATCTTAGGTCCTTCAGGTCTCCAGAGGCAATTAGAATTATTCCTCTACTACTGTATCTGGACCAAGTTATGATGACAGGAACAGGACTTCCAGATTACCCCTCATGAAGGACTCAAATAACCCAAAACTGTACCATTTGGTAGGATCAATTCATTTCTCAAAAGTATTCCTACTGAAAAGCAGTAATAGTGACAGTGGGCCAGTGGCACATGTGGTCACTTGGCCCTCCACAGTTTGGCAAGTGATGTAAAATCCACATGCTCAGTTTCACTTTTTGGATTCTCACATCACAATGAATGCTGTGGTTGCTTTTGTGTGAAAGGCGAACAATTCTCAACCTCTGGGTCTCCAAGAGTCTTCAGCTCCGAGATGCCCCAGCTAGAAAAGGACTGCAACCGTTTGAAAGCCAAGACATCTGGAGGGTAAAAGGCTAAAAGCCAGTGTGATAAAGGTAGAGGTGCTTCTGGTCAATTAGAATGGCAAATAAATCAGAGCAGACTCCATTTGTGCTGGTTGGAGTTATTTTCTCCTGGAAACACAGGTTCTCAGCTTGCATTTGCTCCTGGATCCATCCATCCATGAGCCTCGATGCCCACGTCTTGGCAACGGCCAGGAGAACACCAGTCGCACCCGTTCCTGGAGATATCTGCTCTGGCCACAGCAACACATGCCTTAGTTACATGATGTCCCATTTGGATTACTGGGGCTGCCTTTGAAAAGTGCTCAGAAACTTCCAGCAGGTCTAAAATAATGTAATACAGTGGTGCCTCACTTAACGAAGATAATCCGTTCCAGCGAAATCGCTGTAGAGTGAAATCCTCGTTAAGCGAAATACAAAATCCCATTGAAACGCATTGAAAACCCATTCAATGCATTCCAATGGGCTGAAAAACTCACCGTCCAGCGAAGATCCTCCATAGGGGCGGCCATTTTTGGTACCTGTATAGTGAGGAATCTGTTCAAAAACACAGCGGGGAGCCATTTCACACAGCCGGTGACCATTTTGAAGCTGCTAATCAGCTGTTTTAAAAACGTTGTAATGCGAAGAAGCGGTTCCCAAAGCAGGGAACCGATCGTCGGGAAGTGAATTTTGCCTATTAAAACACCGTTTTGCGATTGCAAAACAGTCATCGTATAGCAGTTTCATCGTTTAACGCGGCAATTGTTAAGCGAGGCACCACTGTACAGTATTGTTCACTGGAGATGATTACAGGGCTCATGAAAGTCCTCTTTTACAACAGCCCAGTCTGTTTTCTGGACACAATTCAAAGTGGTAGCTTTGAACTATAAAGCCCTAAGCAACTTAGGCCCAAGAGACCTGAAAGCCCACCTCTCCCTTTTATAACCTTGTCCAGGTTTAATCATCGGGGAAGGAGAAACAGGGCAATATTATTTTCTCTCACTCCCACCATCCTCACAGGTATGTTTGGTGAAGCCATGAGAGATGGCCTCCTTTCTCATTGCTCCCATGCCGTGGAACCCTCTTCCTCAAGCAGACAAAAAAGACCTTTCTCTCCAGGCAGGCATTTTCTCAGTAACTGGTTACCTTAGAGGGGTCTTAAATACGAGCTTTTAGAGCTTTTAATATTGTTTGCTTTAATACTGTAAGCTGCCTCGAGTCCTCTTGAGGAGAAAGATGTGGTATAAATATTTTAAATAAATAAAACACTTGTAATATAATATTAAGAACAAGAGTGGGGCAGGGTTTAGATATGTTGCTGTGTTAATACAGAGCAACCCCCCCCCTCCGGATTCTGAGCAACCTGACCTGAAAAAATATGCTTCTTAGTTCCATTTTAGCATGCTCCAGCATCAGTCATGTAGGGCAGACCCATGGCAATGGGTCCTCTTTTCACTGCTGCCACAATACACTGTCTTCCAAAGCAGAATTAATGAGCGCACTTCTCCCACTCCAAGTTTATTTTCTTCAGATGGCTAACACCTATGTGTTAGACAAGCCTCATCCCTCTGTAATATTAATTCTGCAGTAATTTTACATCGGCCCACGGTTTGTCATCCTGAATCTTGACTAGAGGTTTTATGGTTTTACATGTTTATTATTATCTTAATTCTGTTTGAGTGGAATATTTGCTAGACTAGAGGTTTTATGTTTTTACATGTTTATTATCTTAATTCTGTTTGAATATTTATATTATCTTCTTGGAAACTGTCCAGAGTTGTGGCTTGTCCATTATATGGGTGGGGTATATGTTCAGACAGACAGACAGACGCATGCGTCGAGTTACCATGGCAGATAACATTTCATGCAATTGACAAAGCGGACTCTGGACTGTGAAAGGGCATGTCATGATGAATCTATTCATCTTTAAAAAAGAAGTCACCGAAATGTGCTTCTAACATTAAAAAACATTTGCTACAAAAAGGCCCGCCGTGTAATCCTAATGAACATATTTGCTCATGAGGGAAATGGCTGCAATCCACAGCCTGGTACAACCCGATACAAAATAAGGACCAGAAACACATAAAATGACATCCATGTACTTTTGCACAGGCTAAGTGCCGGATATAAGGAGCCGTGTTGGCCTAGGACCGCAAAGAGCTGGGTTCAAATCCCAACGCCGCCCTGAAGCTCACCGAGTGTGCTCTTTCTCAGCCTAGCCTACCTCGCAGGGGTGTTAGGAAGATAGAAACAGGGAGGGCAGAATATGGAAGGGAAAGCACGTGGACAGGAAAGGAGGGGAAAAAAAGAAGATATAATGGATATAACCGGGCAAGATTTCTGCTGCGGGTGCTTTCTCCCTCCCCGAATTTACTTTAAATATTTAATTCTTTTCTGAAGAATAAAAATTAGAATAAAATTTAATTTATTCTATTCTAAATTAGAATAAAATTTAATTTTTATTCTTTTCTGAAGAATAAAAAAAATGAAGAGCCTAGACCTCCCAGGGACGCGCTGCCCGCTTAAGAAGCGCACCCCCAGCTCCTTTTCCTCTCCCCCCCACAACTTACCTGTCCGGAGACCTGCCAAGCAATGGTCCCTCTCCGCCCCTCACCTGGCTCTCTTTCCACTCTCCTGGGAAGGGACACGCCCCCTCATCAGGACACGCCCCCTCCTACGCCCACCATTGGTTCCCACCGACGTCCCGATGCGGCCCGCGCCCACTGAGGAAGACTCTTTCCCCCCCTCTCCCGCCCTCCCTCGACCACGCCCCCTTTTTTGGAGGGGCCGAACTGACAGCCGCTTGGCTGGTCCTTTTTTTTTGTGACGAGCGCACACCTTTCGCAGGCGGCGCCGCGATTGGCGAAGGAGGCGTTCTATCCCCGCCCCTCGAAGCGCCTCTCTTCTTTTCTCTCCGGCTCCTTGCCTCTCCATCGCCCCGCCCACCGGCCCCCACCATCACCACCATCGCGGCCTCGTTTTGTTTCCTGTGTCAATCAGCCACCAAGGGAAGCCGACGAGATGGCGATCGGATGCCTAGAGCGCCGCGTCGGGGACGCTCTTTCCTTCCCTTCTCCTTTTCCCTCCGCGGGCTCGTCTTACCTCTCCTCGCGTTGCATGGCGGGACGGTAGCGG